CACGGGGCGCTGAGGGGCATCCCGGGCACAGGGGGGGCTGGCCGGGCCCAGGGAAGGTTTGGGCAGTGCCTCTTTGGGGGCAATGTCCAGCTTGGGAAGAGCTTTGCTCTCCGTGCCCAGCCGCTCCGGAAAGCGCCCACAAGGCTCTGAGGAGAGCATGGCATTGCTGAAGGAGCTTTCCCCAGCAGCAGGGTCCTGCTCTGAGGGCTTCTCTGGGCACTTGGCAGGTCTCAGCTTGCTCCGCAGGCTGCAAATGTCCAGTCTGTCATCGGCTGGGGGTGGCTCAGGCCGGGGGGACGCGGCGGGTTTGGGCCTGATCTGAGGTCTTGACTTTAAGAAGGGGTTCTGGGTGATGGGCTCAGGTTTGTCCTCCATGGGCTCAGCTTTTGGCTTGGTTGGCTTGACAATGGGCCGGAGGTTTGGCTTCTTCACCTCCTTGGCTGACACCTTGTGTCCACACTCCAGCCCCATTTCGTTCTTCAGCTGGAAGAGTTTGGCCTTCTCCGCTTTGAGCTCTGGCTTCTTGCTGTCCTTCGGGGCTGCCGACTGCTTGGGTGGGATCATGGGCAAGATCATGCCTGGGGGCTTGGGGGGAGGCCTCTGCCTCTCTAGTAACTCTCCTTCTGATTTGATGATGGACTCCTTCCTGGGTGGGAGGCTGGGCTTCTCCTCCATGTCGCGGTCCGAGATCTCCTCGTAGCCCCCGGTGAAGGCCAGGTCCCCGCTGTCAGGAGCCTCCTTCCCCTTCCAGTCCTTGCCCCACCTCCCAGTGCAGTCCATGCCGTTGGGAGGAGCCTCTGGCAGGGGTCGGCAGGGCCCTGTCACCTCCTCGCTGGCGCTGCTGCCATCAGTGTCACCGAGCCGCAGCTGCGCCATCTCGTTGGGAAGGGGAGCCAGGAAATTGGGCCTGGAGGCATTGCTGGTTTTCTTGTACTTGTCAATGAAGGTGGCAGGGGCCCAGCCCTCCTTCTCCTCGATCTGGATGTACCACCAGCCACTCAGGTTCTTTTCAATAACCTGCCAGGGGGAAAGGAGACCTCAGAAATACCGCTCTGCGCTCAGGGGTCGCAGAAATGATGGCAGGGTGACACGTGGCCTTGTGCTGCTCCAGCCAAAAGCCATGGAATCCCATCCTAAGGGGAGGGACAGCTGGTCCTGGCTGCCAGGGAAGGAGGAGGGCTGAGGAAGAGCTGCTGAGCTGTCTCTGTCCCTCCCAGAGCGGGATGCTGGGTGCTGGCCACAGTGTGGCACTGTTGGAGCAATGAAGCAGCAGCAGCAGCAGCAGCGATCCCGTGTGGATCCCACCCTGCCCAGCCTGTCTGCAGCTCCAGGAGTGGAGCTGGGGCCTGGCAGGGGCTGAGTGGGGCAGCCCTGAAGGAAAAATCCTCTTAGAGAGGCGTAAGTCACATCTGCACACAGAGAAAGCAAAATCCCATCTGCAGGAGGGGTTCTGCCAGCAAAGAGGGTGTTCCAGGAACTTGGAAGGGCTTTTAACTTTACACCTGGCCTAACTAAGAGGAAAAACTCCCATCTCCAATGCCATTTGTGGTGTGGGTTTATTTTCCATTTGCTCAAACAGAGAACTCACACTTGGGGGACAGGAGGCCACCAAGAACGGTGTGGGGCCAGAGTCTCCTGAGCTCCTACAGGTTTTTATCCCACTTTCAGAGTCTGGAGTGTTAACAGAGACAAAACCTTGCCTGCTTTGCACCCAGAGCACCATGGGGAGCAGATCTCCCTGGCCTGGAAGGGAAGCCCTGCACAAAAGGTGCCAGGGCAATGGGAGCCAGGAGCACTGCCCTGAAGTGACAGTGACAGGGTGTGAAGGGAAGGTGACACCCTTACCTCTACTTTCATCCCTGCCTGGAAGCTGATGCCATCAGGGATGGTGGTCTGGAAGTCAGCAATGGTGTAATATTCCTCTTCCACTTGAGGGGGGACAGGAGGCTTGGGCAGGTTCAGACCACGGGGCTGGGACAGGAAAACAGAAGAGCCATCAGTGTGTTTGTAGAGCAGGTGTGACACCACACCCAGGCACAGGGACATGATCCCAACCAGCCACCAGAGCTCCTTGCAGTGCTCCTCTCCCTCCCCCCTGTGCCACTGCTGCCCTCCCACACCAGCTGGCACTTACTATGGTGAGGTCTCGGCGAGGAGGTGGCCTCTGCCTCATCTTTGGGGACTCTGTGGAGGAAGAATTCCAGATGCTGTTGAGTTTCTGGCTTTTGAGCATGTGTTCATGACAGACAAGAGAGAGACAGAACAGAAAGGCAAGGACTAAACCTGTCCAGGGAAAGGAACCTGAAGGAGGAACCCACCAGCCCGGAACCCAAAGTTCAGAACCAATCAGCCCAGAATCCTGAGTGGCACAGGTTACCCAGGTCTCAAGGGTATCCCTGCTTTCAGGTTCTCCTGGGAAATGCAGCTGAGGTGGCCACGTGAAATTACTTTTGCATTGCAGGACTGACCCAGAATCTTGGAATTGCCTGGGTTTGAAAAGACCTCAAAGCCCATCCCATTCCACCCCCTGTCATGGCAGGGACACCTTTCATTATCCCAGGTGTCTCCAAGCCCTGTCCAGGCCTTGGGCACTTCCAGGGGCAGCCACAGCTTCTCTGGGCACCCTGTGCCAGACCCTCACCACCCTCACAGGGAACAATTTCTTCCCAATATCCCATCTAAACCTCTGTCAGTGTGAGGCCATTCTCCCTTGTCCTGTAAAACATCCTCTCAGTATTTCTGGCAGACTCCCTTTAGGTTCCCCAGTTTCTGAGAGGAGAACATCTCACCCTGCAGCCTGGGAGGGGATCCTCAGCCTGGGAGGGAGGAGCTGTTTGGAGCTCACCTGAGGCGCTGTATGGAGCCCACTCAAGGCCATGTTTGAGCCCACCTGAGGCTGTGTTTGGAGCCCACCTAAAGCTGTGTTTCAATCACACCCAAGGCTGTGTTTGGAGCCCACTCAAGGCCATGTTTCAAGCCCACCCAAGGCTGTGTTTCAATCCCACCCAAGGCTGTGTTTGGAGACCACTCAAGGCCGTGTTTGGAGCCCACTTAAGGCCATATTTGGAGCTCATCTGAAGCTGTCTTTGAAGCCCACCCGAGGCTGTGTTTGGAGCCCACTCAAGGCCATGTTTGAGCCCACCTGAGGCTGTGTTTGAAGCCCACCCAAGGCTGTGTTTGGAGCCCACTCAAGGCCATGTTGGAGCCCACTCAAGGCCATATTTGAGCCCACCCAAGGCCATGTTTGAGCCCACCCAAGGCCATGTTTGGAGCCCACTCAAGGCCATGTTGGAGCCCACTCAAGGCCATGTTTGGCCCCACCTGCCCCGCCCAGCACTCACTGCGGCGGATGTCGGCGCTGGGCAGGGCCCGGCTCTCCAGCCTGCTGTCCCTCTGGCCCCCCAGCCCGTCCTTGTCCCTGCTGGCCAGCAGCTGCTGCCTGGAGATGCCATCCAGCTCCAGGGCACTGGAGTGAGCCGAGGAGCCCAGCTTGGGTGCGAAGCCATCTCCATTGCCCTTCCTGAGGTAGGAGGCAGGGGCCCAGCCCTCCTGGCCCTGGTACCTGTGGGGACAAGGACAGCAGGGTCACTGCACAGAGCCCCTGGGACACACCAAGGATGTGAGCCCAGAGCTCAGCACACACCTTGGCAGCTCTGGGCAACAGGAGCTCGCCAGGCTCTCCATGGCACCAGCAGAGCTCCCTCATGGCCAATGCTCCCACACAAGCTGGCCCTAGCCAAGGCCTAGCAATGGGAATGCTGTGATGCCCAGTTTTCACCTCAGCAATGGCACCAGTTCAGGAGTGAAGAGCTCTGGCAGGGAAGGCAGAGGGAAAAACAAGAGCACTGCTGCTGGGATTGATGTACCTGCTCTTTGCAGAGAGCACAAGCCCTGTCCCTGCTGGCAGCCTGGATCCCTTCCCTGCTCTAAATCTGTTTAGGAGAGAAAGCAGCCCCGTGACCTGACTGAAAAACCCCATCCACAGTGCCCCTGCCATGCCAGACCCTCCCTGCTGGCTGGGCTGCAGCCACCTCCTTCAGATGGCACCAACCACCGAGCCTGTAATTGCCTTTGGAAGCAGCTCTCCTGTGCCTCACACGGCAGTGGATGTGTTTCTGGGGCTGTGCTGCTGCCAGGAGCACAGGTTCAGTGTGAGGTTATGAAAATTGCAGCGTGTGCTCCCACCCTGAGCAAGCCCGGCCGTTTGCTCCACCACAGAGAAGAGAAAATGTTTTCTTCTTCCAGCAGAAAACAAGCCTCAGCTGGGGATGGGCTGGAGCCTTTGGCACACAGCAGAGCTGGCCCAGACCTGGCCACTCCCTGCAGGAGCCTCCAACAGAGCCAGGGGATGCAGCCAGTCCTGGGGCATTCCTGGGTTTCCCTATCAGCAGGATGTGACACCCACTAAAGCTCTGCTGGAGGACACAGCCACCTCCCTGTCACAGACATCTTTCATGAAAAATCTTTTCCTTAGGATTTTTCCTCCTGAGAAGCTGAGAAGCCTCAGGAACAAAATGTAAACAATGGTTATCTGCTGCTGTGGGATGCAACAGGTGCATCTGTGATTGGGCTCATGTGGTTGTTTGTAATTAATGGCCAATCACAGTCAGCTGGCTCGGACAGAGAGCAGAGCCACAAACCTTTGTTATCATTCTTTGCTATTCTATTCTTAGCCAGCTTTCTGTTGAAATCCTTTCTTCTCTTCTTTTAGTATAGTTTTAATGTAATATATATAATAAAATAATAAATCAGCCTTCTGAAACATGGAGTCAGATCCTCATCTCCTCCCTCATCCAAGAACCCCTGTGAACAACGTCACACCTCCCAGCACAGGAAACCTGGGCAGTTGAAAGATTTCCAGCCAAAGCTGTGCTTGAACATCAAATCTGTGAGGATGGAGAGAAATGAGCTCTGGAACTCTGCCCTCCCCAGCTCACAGACTTGCCTTGGGGCTGGCACCCCACAGCCCCAGCTGCAGTGCCTGGGACAGTACCTGATTTTCCACCAGCCTTCCAAGTTCTTCTGGGTCACCACCACCACGGCCCCTTTGTCCAGGTTCATCTCATCCTGGTCTCTTGCAGTGTAGGGGTAAATCACTGTGTACTTCTCCTCTGGTGGAAAGAAAGAGCAGCTTCACTGAGGAGCTCTTAGATGGAAACCTGGCCCCAGCTGGACAATGGCTATGAAGTGCTTTAGAAAATGATAATTCTTGTAATTTAGGCGCAAACACACAGAGATACATGACCATTCAAAGGGAAATGACAGTGAAATGTATTTGGAAATGTAAACTTTGGTGAGATGCTTTGGCCCAAGAAGTTCTCTAAAACAGTTTCTCCTCTCCCTTAGGACTAAAGACTTTTCACAACTTATCACAGAAGCTCTTCCATGCATCCATTTCAGCTCAAATTTCATTCTCAGAGTCTTTAAAGACGAACCATCCTCTGTAAGGGGAGAGAAATCCCACAGGCATGAGGGTACACACAGAGGTGCCCTCAAACTGCTCCAGAGCAGCAGAACATCACCATTTAATCCCCAGGACATTGGTCAAAGCCACGTGGGGAGCCTGGAGAAGAACCTGATGTCCCAACCACCAGAACAAGGGATGTTAAGCAGGAATGTGAATGTTCTTCCCTTCAGGAGGAAGGAGAAATATCCTAAAAGCCATGCAGACAAATGGGTCCATCCATCCTCCCCTCTCCCTCAGCTTCCTCTCTGGAAGAAACACAGGGAAATAATTGCCTGGGCTTAAGCAGTGCCTCCACAACAGGGTGAAGGCCATTTTGGGAAAAATCTGCCTCCAAAACCCACCCCTCTGGACATCCCTACATCCCCACCATGCAGCTTTCCTGGATTTGTCTTCTGGAAGGCTCTGATTCCCCATCCCCTCCATGGAGAGGGGACCAAGCAGAGAATGTCCTGTCACATCCAGCAGGACCTTCCTCTCCTCACCCCACCCTGAGGCACCAACCCAGGTTACTGCAGGAACTGAGGCAGCAGCTGCAAGAATTCTGCACGTGTGCTGGGGGAAAGCAGGAACTGCAGTTTCTGAGCCCAAAACATGAGAAGGAGGAGCTGAGAGAGGAGAGGGACATGCACAAGGGAAGGGAAGGCTGAGGAGCAGGGGTGGGCTGACACATGCACAGCAAACCAACATGCACACAAGGCTCCAAGCACAACACAGGGGCACCAAGAAAGTCGCTGTGCTCCACCTTGAGCCCATCCAGGGGTGTACAAGTCCCCGAGGGTGCGGCGGCGGCCGAGGTGCCTGGGCAGGGACCAGTACCTCCATGGCACTGGGACAGCACGGGGAGAGCAGGAGAAGGACAAGAGAGGACGTGAGGAGGTGGCACTTCATGTCCAGGAGGAGACAGGGCTGACACAGAAACTGGTGCAAAGACTCTGGAGCCTTCCCCAGGCTGAGCCCCCCAGACCAAGGGCTGAGCCAGCTCTGCTCTGCCCTGGGCACACAGAGGCACTGGCAAGGATCTGTTTGTTATCCAGGGGCACTTGGGATTTGCTCCAAGGACAGGCTGGACCCTTGCCTTTCCCACACTGCGTGCACTTTGTCCTGCACATGCATTGTCCAAGGAGCTGGGCTTTGCTCCTCCTGCAGGGCAGGTAAAACAGCTCCCTGGGCTGCAGGGAGGCTCTGGGGGGAGCATTCCTGGGGAGGAGCAGAGAGGCCAGTGGATGCACCACCAGTGTCCAGCTGCCCCAGTCCTCCTGCAGGACCATTCCTGGGGTTTTGTCCCTTTTCCCAGGTTTGGTTCCTGGGTTTTGCCTGCCCCAGGCCCATGCCCTGCCCCACTCAGGGAGGGTGATGCAGTGCCTCCAGCAGCTCCTTACCTTCATCAGGCTGCATTGAGAACTCATCCTGGACTCCATCCTGGGCCTCCAGGCAGGTGGCTGGCACCCAGCCTTGCTCCTCCAGCGTGCTCACAAACCACCAGCCTGAGGAGAGAACAGCAGGAGGCTCAGCCAAGGGCTCACACCAGCCAAAAACTCCCTCCCTCCCTCCAAACCACGTGCCTGGGGGGCTGGGACCCCTTTCTTGCATCTCCACGGGAAGCTGGGGTGACCCCAAAGCAACAGAGCCAAGCACAGGAGAACTGCAGCTAAGTGACATCTAAAAGTACAATTCCCTCCCCAGGAAAAGCAGGAGAGGCTCTGAGAGCTGAATGGCTCAGCCACTGCATTTGCTGTTGGATTTTTCTGCCCCTTCATGGTTCATTTTCCCTCAGTGTGGGTCAGCAAGGCTGGGCTAATTAGCAGAGATGAATACCCTGTGTGTGAATCGATGGCTGAGCCCTGCTGTGCTCGCCTTCTCTACATTTGTGGAAACAGCAGAACTGAAAAGCCACGAGCAAATGCAGGATTTAAAACATCAGCTCTCCCAGAGGAAGCCCAGCCAGCTCCAGAGAGGCCACAAGCAATTCTGGGCCCCCCTGTGTGTCCAATCAAAACCAACGCTTGCTGCTCGTTATTAAAAGCACAATTTGTGTCTTTAGAGGGGGGAAATAAAGATTGAGCGTTACCCTCAGAACCCCCCCAGTGAGTCATTTAGAAAGACAACTGGATTGTCAGGGATGGAATCAGCTACCTGCATGGGAGGGAAAAGCAGGGCTGACCTTTGATAAATAAATGATTTTCCACAGCTTTTGAGCTGGCTGTGCTAATCGTTTCATTTGCTTCAGGGTTGCTTTTATTTCTCTTGTTCTCAAACAGAGCTGCTGGTGCAACTGATCCTCTGGCAACCAGCTCTCCAGAGCTGCTAAAATCCATTTTCATTTAACTCCCCCCAACAAACAACTTCTGTAAGCTGCAGGGAATAAATTCTCCATGCCATGGCTCAGTCCCTTTGCAGGGAATAAATTCTCCATGCCATGGCTCAGTCCCTTTGCAGAGGTTAAGAGCAGGTTTAAGTTTTGAAGCAAGCAAAGCACTCAGCTGCTGCCCACAGGAATTATGAATACACCAAAGGGGTTTTCATGGCCACAACGAGAGTGTCCCCCTCTGTCACTCACTAAACCCAGCCTGCCAAGCCCAGGCATGGCTTTGTCCTCAGCACACATCAGCCAAGTTTTCAGCACCAAGAAGCACCAAGACTGAGGAAGGGGGACGGCGCTGGGCGCTCGGCACGGGGGGAATCAGCCCTGCAGCCTCATCCACACTCACAGACCAGAGCTCATTCCTTCACATCCCACCTCAGCATGCCTGGGGGCTGCTCTGCTTCAGGAGAACACTGACAGCCCAGGAGTGCTCCTGTGCAGCCATAGAGCCCAGCTCCCTGTACCTGATTCGTTCTTCTCAATGATATCCACCACCTGGCCCACGCTCAGGCTGATCTCCGAGCTCTCCTGCTTCTGGTAGTCGGCCACCACGACATACTGCTCCAGCACCAGCGGCTCAGCCGAGGCACAGTCAGCTCCTGCACAGGGAGGGGGACAAAACCGACCCGTGTGCCAGGTCAGCACTGTCCCCAGGGCACGGCCAGCGCCACCCAGCAGCTCCAGGACACCCGGGGACCCCGGCGTGAGAGGGGTGAGCCAGAGCTTTGGGCAGAGTGAGGGGCACAGAGATCAAACCAGCAGCCAGGTGAGGTGGGGACAGCCAGGTGAGACCTGCTGCTGCCCACCAGAGCCATCCAAGCAACCTCCACCAGCACAGGAGCTCACAGCAGCCTGGATCTCCCTGGGGTTTTGGTGACTTTCCTGAGCACATCGGGTGCCCCAAAACACAGAGCCTGCAGCAGGTTCTGCTGGGCTGAGGAGCCCCAGATGGGAAGGGTTTGTAGGATGGAGGTGTTTGTAGGACAGGACACATCCCCTGTCCTCCCAGCCCCGCTGTGCTCAGTCCCTTGGTCTGCTCTGCTCCCTGCCCAGCTGTATATCCCGGTGTCCTGGCAAAAAACGGGGAAAACACCCCGAGGAGGGGCAGGGAGGGCAGAACACAGCGGGAACAAAGCGCTGCTGTGCCGGCAAGAGGAGAGCCGGGAGCTGCCGGGGAACGGAGCTGGAGCGGCGGCAGGGGGCACTGCGGGATAACCGGGACAGCATTTGTATGTGCCATTAGGAAAAAAGAACTTTAGAAAGGGATTGTTAAGGGTGTCAGCGTCTGCTGCTGTACCTAGAGCCCCTGCTGGACCCAGAATTGTGTTTCCTAGCAGACACGGGAACTTCTCTGAGTTAAATTTTATGCCAAAGGGGGAACAATTGTTCAAATGCTCTTTTGCTAAGGGGGAAAGATGAGCAGGTGCATTTCATTCAACCACTATTGGTGAATGTTGTGTAAGGCCATGGGAGGCCCTGGTATGGGTGACTTGAGGTCATCTGGGGTTCCTTGAGGTCATTTGGGGTTCCTTGTGGTCATTTGGGGTTCTTTGAGGTCACTTGGGATTACTAGAGGTCGTTGGAGTCCCTGGGAGGCATTGTTTTAGTTCATCTGATGTTACTGGAGGTCATTAGAGTATTTTTTAATTGACCCAGGGGTTACTTGAGGTCACTGGAGTATTTTTTAATTGATCTTTTGAATTGATCTTTAATGCCCCAGAGATTTGGGCTTCCCAACAGGAAGAAAAGGATGGGAGACCTTGGCTATCAGGAGCCATCTACAAGGATTACTGGGCTAATACGAACTCTCCTTGTCTACTTTATTCTCTGTATTTACCAGCCACACCTGGTGCAGAGACCAGGAAAAGTCAGGAGGGGGTGTTTCAAATGTTCCAGGGGGTTAAAAAGTAGAGTTTGTAAAGACAAATGGAGAGATGAGAGGAGGGGTTGAGAGGAAAGATGTGTGCTAAGGTGCCACCCTCATCCTGAAGGACAAGATCTAGCAGGTCCCCAGGACTCCCAGGATGTCCTGCTGCCTCCTGGAGAAGTTCCCCCGTTCACAAGGTCACAACCTCTCCCAGCTGCTCCTGACAATGCCAGACCACAACCAGGATTGAAATGTGTCTGCAGGGCAGTGTTATTTCAAGGAAAAGGAAGGAAATGTCTGTGCCCATAAACAGCACCCTGCAGAGCTCCAGGTGAGCTGGCCAGTGCAGAGGATCTGTTCCTGCCCAGGAAAGCTTCCTCCACACCAAAACCCAAAGGTGGGGCAGCAGACAGAGCTCAAAATAGCCCTCCAAAGTGAATGGGGGATGCTGGGACTATCTCCTCTAGCAGCTCAATTAAAGGTTTGTGCTTAAAGGGATCTGAGGATCTACCCAGCCCCTGAGAGAAGAATAACAACTGCAGGAAGAGATAAGTACTCCCCTTTCTGCCTCCCTCCTGTAATTACACCCGTGCCTCTGAGGCTATTTGTAGTTTCAGCAGCCAATTCTGGATCCTCCAATGTGCCCATTAAACCAGAAGAGAAGTGGTAAACCGAGCTTGGAGGAAGAGGTAGGCGTTAATTTCGGGAGCATTTCACCTGCCCTAATCATCCTGAACCACAAAAACACACCCTGGAGGGAGCAAAGCATCCTGAGCACAGCCACACCTGGGCTCCCCAAAATAGCACTGGTGTAAAGCTGCCCAGGGAGGGGGGAGAAGCACCAAAGCTCTGAGCTGGGGAGGGGAGGAGGAATTCATCCCCCAGAGAGGGTGTGCAGGCAGCTCAGGCAGGAGCTGGGCATCCTCAGCTGGGACAGTGACACAAGTGTGGCCTAGAGAAGGGGAATCCATCGAGTCAAAGGCCTTGGGCTGGGCTGGCAGAAGTGATGCTTGCCCTGGATGCAGGAGGGGCACTCAGCACATCCCAGAGCTGACCCAGGAATGCTCACAGCACTGACCTCACCCTCAGCCTGCCCAAAATCCTTGCAGGTTTTGTTTGGCCAGAAGCTTGGCCTTTCACACAAGGG